ATTGATCGATCGCCATCGCAAACGTCATACCTCAGACCTGCAAAGATCTACGCAATTCGTTCTGTATTTACGCCCCACAAATCGAAGCAAACCCCGTAACACCCCCTGAACCCCTAAAGGCGGGTGGGTGTACGTCTTCACCAGAACAGCCTAAAAACCTTTATTTTCATCTCGAATCGATACCGCTCCAAATCTGACACACCTGTAGTTCTCTCATCAAATAGTAAACGAAATGGTTCAATTTTATTTCCCACGAGAAATGTATTATTCCTCCTCTCTTGGGGCGTGGCTCGATTACGCCACGAACCCTTTAATAGACGTAAATACCGACTTCGAAGAAAAATATACGCCGGGACGTAGATTAAAGGAAGCTTTGCAAATGTCGCGACTCCCAAAGCTCCGTTATCCCCTTCTCTTCGGGCCAAGGCAATGGCGAAGTTATAAAATGATTCAGGCTGGTGAAAATTGTGCCAATTCGGTACGAGACTTTGGTTGATGAACAGCCAAGTGGTTGAAATTGCAATTAGGACCTAATTAACAACGAGTGTTAGCGACTGGGGTACGTGGCATTTGAGGTGGTGATTGCTAGATTCTGGATAGCAGGATTGCAGAAACGATAGAGTTAACTTTGTTTTACCCACCCCGCTTAAGAATACGGTGCCTGTGATCCGATAATTACGATTTCATATTGAAAATTCAGAAATTTTATCATCAATACGTATTTTTATTATCCAGAGTCACGTTCCTGTTTTTTGTGTATTTATTTTATTCTTACAAGGGTTTAATATTTGAGAATCCATTGATTTTTTTGTAGCCGCTAATTTATAAACAATATTACTTATTGTTTTTGGTAGTTTTTAATTTCTTTTGTACCTTTTCGAAATTTTGTTGGCTCCCGCGGTAAGCAAGCCTTGTATTGTTTGAAATCTACTTAGATATGCATTACGTGAATTTTCTTGCAACTTTTGGTTCTCTTTCCTCACTTTTTCCTTTTTTTATTTGTCGCAGGATGTTCAGTGGAACTTTCAGATGATGGAAAAACAGCCGCCGATTCTAAACTTTTCCAAGTACTGTATGATAGCGGCCGGAACGTGGAGACTGCCGATCTCATCTAACGTATTCCTTCGGAAATTGTACGCCTTATACGCATCTTTAGAAGAAACGGCCACATTGATGAAAATTCTAACATCAACTGTATGAAAAAAAAAAGCGATGCTGACATTTTCTCGAGTGTAGATGAAAATGTTCAAGATATACGAGGAACAACGCGTGCCTACACTAGATATTTTAATTAGGAGGCTTGAAAAAGATGAAACCGGTGTTAAATGTGGCAGAACTACCTTACGAAAGTGTATTCAGAACATGGGTTTTAGATTTAAAAAAATTAACAAAAGGCCAGTTTTAATCGAATCTTTTAGAATTCGGAAATGGAGACTGGAATATCCAGAAAAAATTAGGATTTACAGAGAACAACAAAGGCCAATTATTTACTTGGATGAAACCTGGTTCGACACCGGAAAAGGGTTGGGTTGACTCAACTGATAAGTGTAAAACAAACGCGTCATCAAAAAGAGGTACAAGAATAACTATTTTGCATGCTGACTCTAAAGATGGTTGGATTCCAAATGGACTTTCTCTGTCTGCGAAAAATCATAAAGATCCTTCTCTGGATTACCATGAACCACCACCACCGCTCATATGTTTGAAAGTTGGTAGAAAAAAACAAATTAGTTCCAAACATTCCTCCTAATAGCGTAATTGTAATGTACAATGCAAGTTATCACAGTAGACAGTTGACTAAAACCCCTTCCTCATGTGACACAAAAGCAACAATCCAAAACTACATTTTCAAGAAGATTATACCAAAAAGCAATTAATTGAGGTTCTACAAAGCTTGAAAAAATATAGGGCATACACTTTTAAGGCTTCCACCTTACCATATATATGTATATTTAATCCCATTGAACATGTTTCACCATCGTTATATTGCAAATAATATAAAACAAATAATAATTAGAACAGGCGATGATAGCTATAGTGATATATTATGTGAATAATTTTAAGTAATTTAAGTAGATAATAAAAATAATTTGCAATTTTATTTTAGATTTAAACATACATAAATAAATAAATATTGTTTAGTATCTTTCCTAACAAAACCCCAAATAATAAAATTCTAAGCAAAGTGCGGACCAGTTCGGCCATATTTCATTCTTACAGCTTGCCCGGTACTTTCCTTAATTCGTATCAGTTAATTACTTTCTTGTATCTATGAACAGACTTTAATAATAAACTCTCTCTCTCTCTCTCTGCTCTGCATGCTCTGATATAAAACACCTCTTGCTGGGTTAGGTGATCGAGGAAGAGCAGCAGATCTTGCTGGCCGCCGAAGAAGAGTTGCTGAGGTTTCACTCGAATCAGGTGAACTTCTGTCGTCTGTTCAATTTGAACGTGTTCCTCTCCATCTGCTGTGCAGCTTCGTCCATCACAGTGGAAAACTTATCATTCAGACGCGAGATCGCAGCGTACAACGCCATGCATAACGCGTCTCTAGAGAAACCGTTCACTCTAGGCCTATACAGCTACGGTCTGGATCCAGAAGATCACGCTGTCCTGCTCATAGCCATCAACAACTTTTGTCTCTATATGAACGCGGTCATAATTATATCGTCGAAGATTATCTTCATTTCTTGCATGATCTTCGCTCCTTCGATACTCAAAAGGTTGCAGATAGAGTTTAGGAACTCGACAAGGTACGAGGACGGTGTTTTGGAACGTCTCAAGATTCTGGTGGGAGAGCATCAGTATGTCATGAGGTATGAGTTACTGGTTACTTCTACGAGTCCCGTCCTCTGGCGGATTTTTGTTTTTGTCGACAAAAATGAACTATTGAATGTAGTAGCATTAGTTTAGAGTAATTTATAAATTTAGACAAAGTAAAAATTATAGAATATATACAGAAATAATAGGAAAATGAAATACATACTTGGGACGACACACACATAGTTTTAAACTACAATGCCAAAAGGAGAATATATATAATATGTAAATAAAAATTATTCTTCGGCAAATTCTTCTTCTACCGAATCTCTAGGTATTAAATTGTCCAATAATGTTGTAGATTCGTGGGGAAAATGAACAGCTCCGTGAAGTACATGATATAGATGGAATATCTTCTCAGCTCGCTGAACTTTGCAGTAGTTTCTGTGCAATTTATCGCGGTACGTGGATTAGTGTCTAGGGTTTCTATGAATATGTGACCTATGTGACTGAGTCAGTAGCAGTAAGATGTACACAGAAGAGCTTTGGGTTTTGGGGAGAGTTTTATTCAGGGTTGGCACCCTTACGTCTCCCTTGAATTAACATCAGAAGTGGGATAGTTCCGTGTCCAGTATTGCAAAAGCAATACAGATTATTAGGGAAAATGGCCGAAAAGAATTGCACAATTGCGTCACCTACTGTCTGGACTTGCGAAAGGTACAGTGCAGTGGGAAGAAACTTTCATTAATTTAATCGCTGCCCAACATGAGCAAATTTTCATCGTCACATTCACAGAAAACGCCAACGCCCAATCCTTCCATAGCAGATGGATAAAATACGCAAGCGTCGACATCAACATTGAAATTAACGTGAGTAGTCAGAAGACGCTACGAAATTAAACGTCAGCGATAATTTAATTATCGCTAAAGCAGGCGATACTGTTGCGAATGGCGGCCGATCCGATTTCGTACTGACCTCATCGCTGCGTTTCCTTATAAGCAAAGCACCAAACGCAGTTCGAGAAGAGATTCCAGATTCACATTAAAAAAAAAACCGTTTTGGGCTCGAATCACACCATAACCCGCTTAATATTTCGAACGTAATGACTTTAAAAGGTGTGGATAATATTGTGATTGATCAACTTGTCTTAAAAGAGGACTTGAAATTACGAATATTGTTTTACAAAAATAAAACTGCCGACCATATTACGACTGGTGAAATGATCATAAACTTAAAACTCCAGTGGCGTGTCGAGGTGGTGCCTTTCAACAAGCATGGAAGAGGCAATGCAGAACCTGGAAGATGTATCCATGGGTTTGCCTTGAACGATGAAAACGTGTTAGCGACATCTTTCGTATGACCGCCAAAGGTCACGTATGCTCAGTCAGAACGGACGAGAGTAACCAATCATGTAATAGGCGTTCCAATACAAAAGTGCTTTGGGTTTTGGGGAGAGTTTTATTCAGGATTGACATTCTTTAAATTAACATGTATACTGGAAATTGTTCACACAAAAACAAACCTGGATAAAATCACTGATGATCAGAGAGGTTTCTTGTCTTGCAAGCTTAATTTTAAAGCCATCGATTAAAAAATATATATATATATATATATATATATATATATATATATATATATATATATATATATATATATATATATATATATATATATATATATATATATATATATATATATATATATATATATATATATAGAAAGGTACTTACCCATTTAAAATTTGAAGTGACGTCGGGTAACTTTTCGACTTGAAATCGTATACTAATTTACGCTAAAATCTACGTAGAGAACCGTCACTACCTTTTCGACAAGTCACTCAATAAAAATGATACCTACACTAGCCCGAGTTGTAATAATTTCAAAAACATCCCGTATCTCAAAAATGAGAAAATTTTTAAAAAATCTGTTTGCGTCGTCTTTTTTTTTTCACCAAAAGTATTCTGAAAACAGTATCTTATTTTTAAACGTAAGCACACGCCAGTTTTTTTAAAAAGAGTGCTTATCTCCTTCTCCCTCATCATTGTCAACCTGTATTTCCATTCAGAGGCGTACTGCAGCACAAAAGAACTTGACCGCAGGACGAAACCAACGTCCATCTTCAAAGCCGACTCTCCCCGATAAATTTAATATTCCCGGTAATCACAGGGTGCGGCTCAAAGGGGCGGACCGTGGCGGCATTGCGGACATAACTACAGGCCTCAGGAATAAAGTATACGATCCCAGGAAAATGTCGCAAATGTCGAAACTCCCAAGCGGTATAAAAATGTCCCGCCTTCGGAAACCTCGTGCATTTTGAACGACACCCCATTCACAACGCCAGATTAGTAGCCTACAAGAGGGACTAGTTTTTAGGGATGGCAAACCTACCGCCTCAAATCTTGAGGGTGTCGAAATACTGTATGGTAGTCGCCGGTACGTGGAGGCTGTCGTTGGCCTCTCGTCACGAAGTCCTCCAAAAGATCTATAGCCTTTACTCGGCATGTGCTAGAGCCTACTTCCCCATAATGCTGACGTCCATGTGCCTCCAAACCGTGCGTGAAAAGTCAACCAAAAGCACAGAAGAAATGTTCCGGATACTGTCCTACATTATACTTCTGTTTATCGTGCAGATAGCTTCGCTCATGTGCCAGACAGGCAAGTTCCAAAAGGTTCTGGTACGAGTCGCGAGCGAGGAACGATCCATACTAAATTCCTGCGACTGGAACCTGCTGCGATTCCATTCGCGGCGAGCACAATTTTGCAGAACTTTCAACCTGAACATTTTATTCAGCACCAGCGGTGCGGTCGTTTGCATCATTCTGGAGAATTGGTTCCTGCGACGCTCGATCGACAGGCACAACGTCCTCTACAACGAGTCACAGGATAAACCTTTTGCCATAGGCCTGTATAGCCATTCTTTAGATCGCGAGAGACACGCCACTCTCCTCGTTGCCATAAACGATCTTTGTCTTTGCATGAATACGTTCGCGGTGGTGTCTACCAAGATCGTCTTTATTTCCTGCATGATATTCGCGCCATCGATGCTGAAAAAGTTGCAGATTGAGTTCTCGAAGCTAAACCACAGGGACAGCGACGTGGTGAGCTGCTTGAAAATGCTCGTCGTCGATCACCAGGAGGTCGTCGGGTGAGTTTGAGTATTCGCAATGTCCTGCGAAGCTTCAGTGTTATATTTGCAGGTTCGTCGAGACTATGAACGGGTCGGTGAAGTACCTGATCCTTCTGGAGTACCTCTTGAACTCTCTCAATTTCGCGGTGGTGTCGTTGCAGTTCATTTCGGTAATTATTCGCAGGGACTTTGTGACGAACATCACGGCTGTCGTTCGGTTTTAGTTTGAAACGAAGTTGCTGCCATCGCCCATACTTTTCTTTTACACCCTGCTGGTGCAAACGTTCGTGTTGGGCTGGAGCGCGAACGAGATTCAAGTCCAGGTAAACTCTTTCATATTTATGCATCTAGGTACGGTATTCCCAGAATTATAAGAGAGCGGCACACATGACATTTAAAGAAATGGTTTGACATTTGTAACCATTTTTTTACTAACTTTAAAGTTAGTCAGTTTTTCTTTGTGTAGCTGGTTGCATCTAGATTCTTCTAGGGTACAAGAGAACGTCAGTTTGCAAGTTGTTACCCTTTGGATTTTGATGCTAGCGTGGTTCTTACAGAGCTTAGCCATTGCCGATGCCTTGTACGAATCTTTATGGTACGAGTACACTGAACGAGCGAAAAAAATGCTGCTCATCATGATGATGCGGGCTCAGAAACCTTTGGCGCTGACGATAGGGCCATTCGACGCAATGAAAACTGGATCGGCTCTAGCAGTATACAATATAGAAAGCATTGACGAATAAATTTTGCTGATGTTTTCATTTCAGATAATGAAAGCTTCTTATTCGTACGTCACGGTCATGATAGACGGTTGAGAATTTCAACTTTACAGGCTTTGTGTAATGGCGTATTGATTAATAAATGTGTATTAAAAAAAGCTCTATCACACCATTTGGAGTGACATTTTGACTATCAGTGTTTCGAAAATACTCCAACAATATCTTGGCAGGAGAAAAAATAGATGAGAAAAAAAAAAGGAATAGAGAAGAAAAAAACTGGTCGTCTGACTGATCACCACAGATTCTTTTAGTCCAGTTAATATTTTTATATTTCTTTCTTCGATGTCACAGCTGCCGAGTATATTGTAGGCTCCTGCATCTTAAGGAGAATTTTATTTTTAACCCATCGATCGAGATTTTAGGAGAAATGCAAGTGATGTTTTTTCAGAATTTTTTATTGGTGATATTTTGAACATACGGAAAGCAAATTAAGTGTCCATTACTAAGTTACTTTGTGTGAGTGGTCCTGATGAGGTGTAATTTTTTATTAGCAAGACAGATTCGATACCTGAAACTATGATTATTAAGTGATGTTTACATAACGTCATATTTTTTTCTGTACTTTTACCACGTTTTTTAAAAATTGTTGGGGCAATATTTTTAAAAACATATTAAACCTACAGCTTTGGTTTCATAGTTGGTCCATTTATAAGGTGGTTTTAGATTTATAAGAGTTTTAGGGGTAAGCTTAAAACCCCAAGAGCAAAAGTGGTTTTTAAGAACGCTTTGAAAATACCTGACGGTGAATGAAACGTTGTAGATGCAATGATATAAAACTCAAAGCGTTTTGGTATTTATTGGACATTTTACAAAACTTATACCACCAAAACTATAGAAAGCGTTACCTTATAATAATTCCAAAAAAATGTCAGTTGGGTTGTTTTTTTTGCAACTATTTACTTTTATTTTATGACGTTCTTGATCGAAAATTGTACTCGTAAAAGAAAGACAGTTTAAAACAACTCCATCCCTCTTCCATCTCCGACCCACGCCGTTCGACGTTTCCCCCAATCGTCGAACCACGGTCGGACAAGCAGAAGAAGAACAAGAAGGATGCAAAAAAAAATCGTAGGAACGCGGACCAAAAGAAAACGGCGCCCGCACCTCCCCGCGTGCTGTAATTGTCGGCGAGGATCGGGTCGCCCACGATGTTCGGGTCTTTCCGCTCGGCGTTCGCCGGTTTCCGATGTCGAGCTCCCAGGACTTCGATACGTTGTCAGTCCAGCTGCCGAGTTACGACGGGAGGCTGGGATCGAGCCCGCGTTCGTCTCCGAAAAATGACGCTTCGTGAACTTGGACGCCACCGTGGGTCATTGGTCGGTTAAATCTGGCGACGCGATTTGAGCGGGTCGAGACTTCGTGTATAACTGGTTGCCTGTTGACGTCAGACGGGTCAGTTAACTGTTGACCGGCCGACGAATGGATTAAACGTCTTTAGGATACTGTCGGAGGATGATTTTTGGGTGAGTCTTGGCTAGATTCGACAGGTTGTACTTTTTTGTTGGCATCCAAAAAATGTATGTATCTTTACTTACCACGTTTTGGGAAAACACAATTCACAAATCGTAGTATAGTATTTTTTTATATTTACCTGCCTTAACGTAAACCTAAAACAAGGCAATGCGAATAGAACTTCCGACCCTCCAAACGTTACCTACAAACCTTTCACACTCGTGTTGCCCAATGGCGTATTGCAAGGAATATGTTTAGAAACCGATTAACCTGCTAACTAATAGGTAAATTTCAATTTAATTCAAACGTTCGTAATATACGTAATATACGATACAATACAAACAACTAAATACAAAAAATTGAAACACCGACCGATACTTCAACAAACAATTTCACGTATTCGTTCTACAGTTTTGTGATATACTGCAAAAAATATTACTAACTAACCAAAACATTACAGATCCTAAATCATCTAAAGTTACCATTAGACGTATTGGACCGTTCAATTATAATTACAAATATCGTATTCAAATCCGGGATGCGGGGTTTTGATTGCCGTACCTGTTCGGTAACGCGTACAATATGCTGAACGTTATCGCCTCGAGAGAAATGGGTCGTTGTATCGTAATACGCTCTGGCGAATGCCGGTTTGTACCCGCACAAAGACCCTAACTAATATATATATTTACGGAAAAAGACGTATTGGCAATTCAGTTAAATAAGGGAAGAGAAAATTTAATACACAATGCTAAATTTTTATTATCTCATCTCCTTCACTTCGTTTCAAGGATAATGGGTAAAAATTAATATATTAAAACTTCGATATTCAACACGTTTATAAATTCCATAACATTCGATTAATTTGATTGTTTAAGAAAAATATTTCCATAACAGTATTAGGACCACCAGCAAGCTTTTATTATTATTTATTTATTTATTTATTTAGCACTTGGCTATTTACATAAGCAAGTAAAACTTGCTTAAACAAAACTATAAACTTCCCAAATGCCCCGTAAGTCTCTTCTTGAACACTCTTGGGCAAGGCGCGCCCTTAATATTATCCGGCAGTTCATTAAAATTACAAACACCATCGTAGAATAGAGTGTTCTGTAGATTTGGTGTTTTTACCATAGAAACATTGAAGTGCTGACTAACTAACCAACATTAAACTTGCTCTTCCAATGAACTGCTCGACATTTAGCCAATTTAGCTGGTCTAACATACTCTTTATAGGAGATTCTCATATTTTGTTGTAACTGTAACTTATTTAAATCTTCTTTTGTACAAGATATAAGCAATGAACAAACATATGAAAAATGAGGCAAAATTATACTATTATACACCAATATCCGAGTCCACTGCGATAAAAACCGGGATACACGGTTAAAAAACCTTATTTTCTTACCAATTTTTTTGCATAGATATTCAACATGATTACCAAAGCATAATTGTGGATCCAAGATCACCCCTAAATGTTTAATTTCGGAAACAAACTCAATTTTATTACCCTGTATATCCACGGAATAAAAGCGTTAACGGTGGTGTTACTAAAGCCTTCCAAAATAAAATAAAACGTTTTTTAGTTAATGTGCAATTTTATTGAACACATTATAATCTTGCTAATTTTGTGTGATGCGTCAGTTTGATTTCATTTTTTAAGTTTTATTGCCCAAACGTCATTTTAAATTTATAGTAAATAAGTTAAGTAACATTCTCCGCCATCTTTTAACGCGTAGCTAGAGCCACTTTTCCGACGTACCCCTCGACATGGCCGCAAAGCTAATTTTCACGCTAATTGCTTAAACTGTATCGCGTAACGATTTCCCACCCCATTAATAACGGGACGCGATGTAGGAGACGGCGGGATATCCTACGGGGAACAATACCAGACGAGACCCCTGCTCTCCCGCAAGGATGTCTACGTAGATTGCTCCATTCAGGCTTAATCTTACTTGGCCGGGATGTTTGATAAAGGTGTTCCGAATATGCAAAGTTAATTACGTAGTATCCGAATTTTGGTGGACGATATTAAATTTGCAAGAGACGTGAGATCGGACGAGACAAAGGGATAGACCGGGCCAAAGGCTGGTATAACCCTTTGATGGGATAAAACGACATTTAAATGGTGAATAAAAACTTAATACGCGTGATAATTGTACTTGCAAGGGGTCACACATTTTTTAAGAACAAATAAGTATACTTTAACTTCGTCTAGTCTCTAAGTCTGCTTGAGATCAGCCACCAATACCAGAGGAAGTAGATTGCGTTTTGTATATTGAATTTTGGTCCAGAACCCCCTTAGATGTACTACTAGCTTCGATTCATATGTTGGCCAAGAATCCTCTTAGCTCTACTACTTGGTTCGAAAACACTACTACTACTACTAGCGAGGTTGAAAATGTGTTGGCAACAATTGATCCGGCCCTGTAGGGCGCTTCTGGAGAAAAGTAACTCCGACAACAGTTTTAATTACTCGTCCGTTAAAGGGCCCTCGAGTATTTTCGGCATTTCCCGATAACGAACCGCCGCTCGTTTGAGCGACGTGATCGGAAATTGAAAAGCTGCAGCCGCGAAATTTTCTTCGATAGCGCCATCTTTTCCGGTTGTCTTTTCGCGCCGAGCGACAGTCAGGTAACGTCGAAAAAATTTTTCATTTCTTCGGGACCACAGAAATCAGGAGTCTTGTAGGATTTTTCCCCGATAAGTAGTAGTGTAACTAAGATGGTTCTGTACAAAAATGAATCTCGATGTTAACGTTATGTTTGGTTGGAATTTAACTGTTATTTAAACGTTATTATTATAAATTATGTTGCAAAAGGCATTAATGAAGTTGAGATTGTTATTAAGATTTTCACCTTTTTGTATTAAAAGAAGTCCGATAACTTTCAAATTCTTAGTCTCGTTTCATGAAATCTCTGCGAGAGGGCTCCCCCACTACGTCAGCTCGAGCCCCCAATTTTATTAATGACCACAATGCTCATCTATTTAAATAATTCCCCGTCGGTATTCCTTCGGGACGCCGGAGGCTTTCCGTTTAAAAGGTACAAACTTCTCTCGGAACTTCCGAACTGAAATATCTTCCGAGAGTCGAGGTAATTAATTTGACAACGTTGTAAAAGGGAACCGGAGACAAAACTTGTTCTGTTCGCGGGTCTCTGACGTGAGACCGCCGTGATTTATTCGATTTTAGCCCGGGGAGACGGCGGAACAAAATTTTCCAACAGGTAGGGTCTTTAAAACGCCCGTCTTAACAGGATGTCCGACTTCAGCACCGATGCTGTCCCAAAGGGGGGAGACGTATATGAAACTCTGCTGAAAAGTGAGCTGAATAAATTGCTACCGGGGGCGATTCTCTGCATTGGGACTGAGGCATTGGATGAATTAGAATTCTTATCCTAAAAGGACACTGCCATCTAAGAAGGCAGCTTCGTATCATACGATTGGGCGGCAACAGCAGATGTAGGCTGTGCTTACAAGAGCAAGAAACTATTATTCACCTCCTAACGAACTATGCACCATTAGAGGACAGCCGATTTAAGAGTACTAGGAAAGAAGAAGAAAACTGACTTGAGAGTACTCTAGGGCAGGGGAGGTCTGAACTCAACGCCCTGGTCGTTAGGACAGCGACGCACCGGAGATAGAACAGGATAATTTAATATGTCATAATTATTCGCCTAACCGTGATACCGCAATATTCTTGCACGATTTACGGGACAGCGGGATTCTAGGGCTTATTTTTAATTTAAAAAAAAAGTCCAAAGACACCCGTCCCGCGCGAACTTTAATTTAAATTTTTACATGAGACGTTAATAATACGGCACAGCGGCAAAATAACGCCCTTAATGAAAATATTATTCAAGCGGCGCCCGGTCAAATGAAATTGTTCTTTCGCGGTGCGGCGTCGAGCTGTTGGTGAGGGTTGGGGAGGTTAGAAAAGTCGATTTTAACAAATCAGAAAATTGCTTTTAGTTTAATCCACAGTATTAAATAACATCATTTTAACAGGTACCAAATAATAACAGATTTGAAAGGGATAATAATCAGTCTCCGCTCCCTCATACTCCAAGCTCACGTCTACTAAAAATACTAAATATTAAAAAAAAAATAGAAAGCATGTTTACAAATCGGTTTTAGGAATATTTATCGGTTACTCAACCATTTTACAATTTTTGCAGCGAGTTACTACAAACGTAATAAAGGTTAGATCTATCAATTCGATCGTCAATCGACATCTTTCAATTCGCCCGGGCTCTTTTGATTTAAATCGCTTTCGCGCCCATATTTTAAGGTTGATTCCGTTGACAGCACGTTTTGGGGGTTTGAATGTGTTGGGTAAAGCGAATTTAAACAACTCTGGTAACGACCGAGGAAGGCCACTTACAATTTCTTTGGAAGCTTATACTTTATATAACAGCCTGCTAATACACCTCTCTAATCTTGCTTATGTTTCACCCACCCCCCTCACCAACTGGGCGGATAGGGAAAGAGTAGAACGTACCCCGCAATTTTGAACAACTTTCGAGTAGTGAATTATCGAATACAATTATAGTCTGACCACCCTCAATTTAACTCTTCGGTAAGGGTCTACTTCCCCATTATCATTTAGCTCTTAACAAATCGTCTCCAGGTCACCACCTGTTGGGCCCTTTTGTTCGCCTGTTTGCACGCCTTTGGTGTCCTGGCGAAAAACGGTACCGTTACGAGGCACCGCCTCCGGCTTATTTAAATATAAACTTATTAAAAACTTTTCCGGTTTGCGAAATGCGGCATTTGAGTCTGCCCCCACCACGCCGTCGAGGCCAACTTTCACGTATATAACGACGCGATCGTTTTGTAAACTACTTTAGCGAAGGCCGCTCTCGGAAAATGTCTTTTCGGGACGTAGCAAAAACGACTTTTTAATGCGGAAACGAATTGAAAATACAGTGAGAGTCGCGTGTCCCAGTTCACGTGTGTTTTGTAAGTATATTATATGTTGGTCCTGTATCGTATACTCAAGCTGACTGCCATC